GGGGGAAGGAGGGGGACACACACATACCGCCACTGAGTTCATTCCAACTTGCTATATAAGGTTTCCAAGACTATAAATCTTTAAAGGGAAAGACAGCCTTATCTTTCTCCCATAGAGCACCTGGTGGGTTTGAACTACCAGCCTCACAGGTTAGTAGCCCAAAGCCCAATCCACACACAGCACCACCAGGGCCCCTCTGTGAATAGCCAAACTGAGTCCATTGTCATTCACAGCAGCCCCACACAGGGTTTCAGAATAGGGAGCTCTTCAAAGAAGCAGACCATCGCATCTTTCTCCTGCAGATCAGCTGGTAGGTTTGAGCCAATGCATCAGGGCCACCAGGGAATAGAAACTAGATAGTTTATAGATGTTTCTCATGATTTGATTCAGGTTCTACATTATTGTTTGTACTGTCTGGCTTGCAAATTTTAAACGATATCTTTTATTTCCCATTTACTAGCTATATACTAACTAGCCAGTGACCTTACTCTATTTTCCCTTTCTCCTAATTTTTAAAAGTGAAGTACTTCGCATTTTTTCTAACATTGAACACTTTATGCTATTTTTCTGCTATATTTCACTCCTGCTGGTTTTAGGATTTTCTCCTGTACTTCGACTTCAGCATTTTCACTGTGTATGTGCTTGTGAGGCTTTGTATTTAACTTAGTAGATTGTTCAATTTCCTATATGTCAATTATTGCTTTTCAAAATATCTGGGAAGTTTTCTGTCAACATTTCTCAATTTTTTTTCTTTTCCTTCTGCTTCCATTGTACATAGGTTAGCACATTAAATATTGCCCCACCTTTCTCTGACTCTTCATTTTCTTGCCAGTTCAAATCTACTACTGACCCAACACTCACTGGTGAATTTTTAATTTCAGTTATTATGGTGTTTAGTTCCAGGATTTCCATTTAATTTTTCCCTCTTTGAAGCAACACTGTCATCATACTTTTCATTCCTTTCATCAAACGCTCCCTTAAGTTTGTAAACATAGTTATCATGGCTACTTGGAAATCTCTTCCTATTAGAGCCATTATCAGTTCACTGTAACAGGCAGTTTTTGTTCCTTGTTTTGATGGGTGTTTGTTTTTTCCAGTTAGTGGGTCATACTTTATTTTTTATATACCTTGTAATAGGACTATCTTACACTTTCTCTGATCACACCAAGCTGTGAAACTACACTAATTGCCAGCCCATTGCTCTATTGTTATAATTCCTTTGGGCAAACAAGGTTATCCTATAGCTTACTTTTAGCTTCTTTAACATGATGTCTGCAGGATAACTATAAAAAAAGAATTATAAGCAGATTATAAAAATCCGTCTTAATTTACCCATCCAATCAACAAATCAATTATGTAAACAATGGGATGATGTGTTTTTACAATTTTATACATATGAAGTTAATGTGCTGAAGAACTACAATTTATAAAACTATGTATCTTGAGTATACATACAAAAAAGTATGACCTAAAAAACCCATAAAATGACAAACATTGTATTATTATTAATACTAGAAATCTTGCATTGTTTATCATGAGCTTTCCTCCCATATCCCATTCATGTATCAGACTGCTAAACTACCTTGGATTGACGACGGCTGTTTGTATTATTTCAAAACAAGGATAGGAGTTTACTTTGTAGAGCTTTACTATCCCTCAAAAGTTACACAAAAGGTACTTTGGAACATTGTTTATCCAGACTAATTTTCAGAGTTCAGCATAGAACGAAGTGAATTATTAGGTCCTTTGTTCTCCAAATTGAAAACACAGTTAAAGCGTGGCAGTTTCTCAAAAAGTTTAACACAGAATAACCTTTATTTTTCAATCCCCTGACGAGTGGATTACAACTCAGTAACCTAGCAATACCACTCTTAGGTTTATATAAAAAAATAAAAATAAAAACAGGCACAGATACAGGTAG